ATTTGAGAAGGATTAAAAACCAAACCTTAAAGTAGATGTGGTGGTCAGCTGGGATGCTAAAACAAAAGGCCACAAGCTTAAACCCAGTTTGGGCAACTAAGCAACTTTTGAGATCCTGATTCAAAATTTTAAAATTTGGGCTGGGGATATAGCTCAATTTGAAAAGTCTGGATTCAGCCCCAAGTACTCCCTGCCAAACAAAAACAAAAACAAAAACAAAAAACACCCAAAAGCTTAATTAACAAAATGTACTATATTTTTTAAAAATAAACAAAAGCACCTCAATTATTTTTTAAAATTACTTAAGCAGTAGAACCATTTGGAATATATTTCTCAGATATTTCAAGAATTGTGAAGAATATAACTTTTAAAATTCATAAGATGCAAAACCCAAAAGAGACATTAGAAATGTCTCATTTTTCATCAATGTTTCATTTACAGATTATATAAACACTGCAAGAAGTGACATGTCAAATGAAAATCAAACAAAATCAAGGCAAGAACAAAACTCAGTTCCCCTGAGTTTCTCAAGTTAGGCCAGCCTCTCCTTGGGGAATATTTGATTTCCTCTGCTGCACTAATACATGAAGATGCTGTAAATTTTACAAGAAATTCGTACACAATACTGTTTGCATCTTGAATGTGTAGAGACTGCTTGCATATTGTGCTAGGACACTGTCCATAGACTTGCAGGGGCAAGAGTGGAAAGAAAGGAGGGAGGGAAGGTGGAAAAAAGGTCTACCTAGAGTATTGCAAAAATATTCTAATCCTTATTCAATTTCTGAATATATAGTTTAAGTACTATCTTCAAAACCACTCATATGAATGATATTAATAATTTGCTATATAATAGAATGTTAATGTTATCATTCCACTACTACAATCTGATATACTGAATACACATCTATATAAAGGACTGAGCTTCACTTTTCTTTTATAACCATTATAAAGAAATAATCTATTCTACTTAAAACCTGATAATTTATAAGATGAAAAAGTTCATCTGTTTCTTTTAAGTTTTCTTCTTTGTTAAATAATACAATTGTGAAAAATGTACACCCTTTATTTTTCAAAATTAGAGTCATCAGCAGATAGTAATTAGTTGAGCAGATGATAATATGCTACCAAGATTTTAAAATAAAAAGCTGAAGTTCCTACACTTTAATATAATCTAATATCTTTCCAATATCACCATTCAATGATTACAAATAATTTCTTCCTTGCAAAGTCATTATTTTGTTTGATTAAATATATTTTAATTTATTAAGCACTATCATCTTAAAGGAAACAAATAGATGCTGTATTTCATAAAAATCTTTGTATTAGTGTTTCTATATGTCCAACAGTTTTGTCTTTGTATCCTTGATGTACCTCAAAGGTGGAATTAATTCTTAAGGATGGTGCTATATGAAAGTGCCTCAGAATTCAAATGAAGTTATTTTATTGTGTTCTCCTAAGAGATCACAAAAAGAATTCCTTAAATAGCATTCTAATTAAATGTAAGGTATAAATTATTTATATTCTTAATATTCTACTTCTTAAGAATATTGTCAGCAAATTTCCCTATCTGAATCCTTTGCAACTATGATAAATCAGACAAATGTATGAGGCATCTGTTATATGAGGCAGCTTCTACTACATAATACCTATGATGATTAAATTCAAAGAAAGAAATTGAACTCAACAGTTATTTTATTTAGAATACAGGAAATCTTTACACATTTCATTCAAAGGAATGCTTTCCTACCATAAAATAAGATACATTATCGCAGATCTTCAATGTGAATGAAAATAAACTAATGAAAGAAATCCAGGGCTATCTTCCTGAAGCTAAAAGTTAGCATACTTTTTAACATGTTTTATTCTCCTAATAGCCCTCTCAGATCTAAGAAATATCTGAGAAAAATGAGGAGATACTACCCTGGCCCCTTCTTTTTTTCAATAACCCTGCAGCAGCAGGCTAATCAAAAGCACAGAATGAGATTTGTGAATGACCACAGTACAATTTATTTCATGGACTATTTCAGTTTTTCACTGAATTTAATATACTAACTACAATTTTGTTTAGTATGAAAGAATCACACACTGAAAACAAAGAAGTCTGGTTTCAAGCAATGTCATTGAGGACTTCTGTGTCTGACCTAAATGGAGAAACATGGATTTTTCCTCCCTCCTGAAACAAATAAAAACAGAATAAATATCTGGAAGAACGTTTTAAGACATTTGACAAGAGGCAACAAAAGTACTGAGCACTGAAAAACAGGAAATAAGATAAACTCCACAATCACTACTGTTGCTACTTGGAGAAATTCTCCAGGAAACAGGACCATTAGAGGGCGCTCAGATGTAGTCACACACACACACACACACACACACACACACACACACACACGCATCTAGCTGAGTGATGATCAGTGAGCACATGTGTGAGGAAATTCATGAGAATTAAAAAAAAAAGTCTGACAGGATTACAGACAAGAATGGATATTCTCCTAGCAAGACTGGAAAAGTAAGTAATTATCAGGACACCAGCTAAAATGTTCACAAGAGTCTTTTCTCAATAAAAGAAAATAATTAGCACTAAATGGAACACTACTTCAGTTCCACATATAAAATCATAAATGTAAAATGTGAAAATATTAACTGTTGGCACATAGCTGACCTGAACCCAAGAACAAAAGTTTAAGGACTGTCAAAAGAACACAAAGATAGCCACCACCAGTACAGTGGCTGCCTGCCACCCAATCTAATATACTAGACATACACAGTCAGGAAAACACCTGTTATCATGAGAATTACCCATGAGAACCAAGCCAGAACTGACAGGGATGCCAGTATTAGCAAAGGAGGACATTAAAACAGTTACTATACATGCAAAACATTAACCGCCAAAACATACTTAAGCTCCAAATAGAACTTCTAGTCATGAAAAGTAAAATGCTTGTGAGAATAAATAAATAAGAGATTTGAAAAATAAAAGATCAGTAATGTGAAAGCATAGTAAAATAAAACCAAGGGCAAAAAATATAATTTGGTTTAGTATTTAGGAAAAAGAATATAAGTGAGTTGTATGGTTATCAGTGGATCAAAGAAGAAAACGAAAATCTGTAAGTATTTTAACAGAATAAAAATGAAAAGACAACATATTAGACACAATGGAGGGATATTATGTCATGCGATGTCAGTGAAGCAGTTTTCAGGGGAAATTTATAGCGTGTGACTCCTGGAATAGGCAATTAAAGTCTCAATAACCTTAGAAATAGAAAACCAGTCAAAGAAACCAGAACAAAATAAATAATAAAGATCAAAACGGAAATCAACAATAGAGAATTATCAATAACCAAAACTTGGTTCACTGAGAAAATCAATAAAATTAACCAACATCTAGGAGACTGGACAGGAAAAACAGGGAAAAGATACAAAATTACCAATATAGTAATGATAAAAGTAGCATCACCATAGAGTCTACAGATATCAACAGAGTAATAATAAAACATTATAAAATTAGCAAAGTACGAAAAAGTATACAGAACCCTAAAAGATATAACTAAGAAAATCTTAGGTACTGAGGCTGAAGACAGGCAGATAAACCCCAGGTCAGTCTGAGAAATTTCTTGGGATGATGTCTCAAAAGAAAACAGAGAGCTGGAGATACAGCTCAGGAGTAGAGCATTTGCCTAACCAGCTCAAGGCCCCACATTTCATTCTCAGTACCACAAAAGGAAAATAACTCGAAATATTTTATCATATTAAAAATGGAAGAAAGTATAAGATTAATCTCAATAGACATAGAGAAAGCATTTGACAAAAATCCAACAACCATTTATGATAAATATACAAACAAAACATAAAATTCTCAGCAAATCAGACGGCACCTGTAAAAACCTTACAACTATCACTATACCTAACAGTGAAACACTGAATGCTTTCCCCCCTAATATTAAGAATGATGCAAAGATATCTCTTCTCACCATTTCTATTCAAAATTCTACCAGTTTCTAGACAATGTATCACGTGGGGAAAAAAATAAATATGAGGTAAGCCAAGGGAAAAGCTTAGGAAAAATAAGTGATTAATACTGGAAAAAACGAAACATTGAGAAAAGAGAACAATGAGAAAATGAAGAAATGAAATCACCAGGAGAACAGATTGCTCCCGACATGTCCAGGTAATGTATACAAACATATCAGCTGTCTGTTCAGAAACTATCAAAGAAAATAATTAGGTGATCAGATGATAATGAGGTCCTAATGGAAAATTCTAAATAACTCATTGAAATGAACATTTTCAAATACTGTTTCTGTTAATTTCAACAAAGCAGTCTTTGAGTAGCATTAATGTCTTCCCTAGTGGATAAACTAGTACTCTTTAAAGCTATTGTTATTCTCTTACTGTCTGATTATAGAATTATATGCTAATTTTTCGTAAGTCTAAGATAAAATAAATCTTTAATATTTCCTTTTAAAATTCCAGTCTAAGGCTATTATTTAATACAAATGATGATGTAGTTTCAAAAGCTATAAAATTATGAATCAAAATCTCAAGCTAGGATGTGGCTTTTTTAAAAGGAAAGGAAACAGAGTCAAAGAGGGAGCCGACCTTCAAAGCCTGAGGGTGTGCCTCGCAATGTGGACGGCCACACCAAACCTTGGTATTAACCCGTGGTAGGGCTTTAGGAATGGAATTTAGCCTCTAGGTCAGAGGCTATAAAATAAAGGAGGGACATCAGTTGCTCTCTAAATCCTTTCCACCTTCTTTGAAAGTCTAAGGTCCTAGATTTCTAAACATCATAAGCAACTGACACAAAACAGTGAGACAAATACCCTTTGAATTCAGTGAAAACTTAAACCAACTTTTACCTAAAGTGAAGCCAATACAGAGTTCTGCTCTCCCATTACTGTGAATATTAATTTCAGTTATTTTCTCTATTTCATTTCCAGTGAGCTTTACTGCTGCAGACTTGCCGGGGTCTCATTCCCTGCCGGGGTCTCATTCCGTACCTTGTTTGAGCGTAAGGACACCCGGCCTCCACAGCGAGCGCAGAACTTGGTTTGGCAATAGGAACAGTCGTGGCCACAGCCATCAGCAAACTTGGTTTTGTGGCAGATCCCGCAGGTCGGGGCGTCGCCCTTCTGTTCCTGCTGTTGCTGTGATTCTTCTCCCATCTTCTTCACCTGCTCTTTGTACATTTCAAACTGCTGGTGCAGTTTTCTGCCAGGAAACAAACAAGAAAAATTGGTTTCCCTAATGCATTCTAAAAAACAAACAAAAAAAATTACCACAACCTATGGACACAATTTTATAAGCATGAGAATAAAATTTAATTACTACACGTGTTTACAGAATAACATATGGTACATTATATCATAAACATGTCCCAATTTGTTCTAGTTTCTGATACATATGCTAAGAAACAACACAATATATTTAGAGATGTATTTCTTTGGATAGGAACTCTAAGTTTCTACCATTACAATATCTTTTTATCGTATGCTCTAAAATGTTTATAATACCATTTTCAACAACTTAACCCCAAAAATATGGAAAGGTCGTCTGATTTACACAGTGAAGCCAAAACCTAGAAGGTCAAATCAACAAGACATACTCTTCAGTAAAAAATCTGAAGAATGCAGACAGTGGGAAAACCCTGTAGGTGTTCACTGTTTACACCTACAAAGGTCTCAACAGAATTTGGCTCTGAAACATTAACAGCCAAGCCAGTGGGGCTGTGTGAATAAAAGTAAAGCCAGGTTTCACTTTAAAATAAAAGGGCAAGCATTCAGAAAAGCCTATCATTGACACTAATTGGAAGTAGTGATACAGCTTTTCATTTCTATTTTCTACATAGGAAAAGTTTTAAATGTTTAAAAATTCAAATTAACATTCAGCTTAACATTTAGAAAATTATAAATAATGTCACTCCCATATCAACAATAACAAAAGGATGAATATCCTACAAAATCACAACTTTTTTTTGAGCCCTTCAGAGAGCTGAGGCTCTAAGATAGACAATCTAAATTCCAAAGAACCACAGATCTCCCTAGAGAAAACTAGGACACAACGACTATGTCATCCTCGCCTGAAACACAGGAGCAGGAGGCAGCCATCCTAGAGTGTAAAGGGGAATCAGTTAAAATTCTAACAAGTTGTTAAACACTGAGAGTGGGCTAGCAAGATTGTTTGGAACTGTAAGTCCACACACACTTACAAGGACATCTCTAAAAGGCCTCCACTGGGCGCTCAAGAGGAAGACAGAAATCAAGGCAGGAGACTAAACCAAAAAGAAGCACCCCTTCAATAGCACGTACTTGTGCCACTACAAAAGAGGTGACTGGTGGCTACTGCAGGCATTTTCCCTTAAAAATTTGGAGAGAAAGTAAATTTTATCATCCCCAGGCCAGAGCCAAAGAGCACGGCCATTAGGAGAGAGAAAGAGCAAAACTCTCCTCCCATGAAACCAACTGGCATGAAGGATCCTACCAGAATACATATCAGAGTCTTTTCATCACTAGAAAATGGGACAAACCTCCGGCCCCAAGCCAACCGGGAAAAAAGAGGTAGATTTGCTTCTCAAGATAGAAATACAGTGAACTCCTAACAAGCCCCACTTCCAAGGCACAGTGCTCACGGTATAATGGGGGGTGGGGTCTGCCCCAAATGGCACAGATTTGGGGCAGCATTATTGGCAAAACAAAAATTATGTTGTAACCATTTATTCCATTCTAACACAGCAAAGATTAGAAGATTCAATTAACTCAATATACATATCTTACAGCTACAGTATATTTCACTCAAAATGTTATCTCATTTTTACTGAATGCACTCTTCATAACATTCTTAATATTTTGTAAAGAAATCTTTTAAAAATAGTATTACTAATATGACTATTAGTATTTCCTTTACTCACATCAAACGGTTATTTTATGGACCATAAAAATTATAGTAGTAATTTATGATCCCTTTGAATTATATTTGATATTAAACTGAGGTTTTCTACATGGTCTGAACACAGCAGCATATTCAGCTGCATGATGCTTGTAAACAAACTGTACTGAGTGTTTCCACATGCATCTCCCACCGCTGCAGCACTCAAAACAACTTATGTGCAAGCTTCGTGTGCAAGCAGTCACGTGGCAGAGACGCTGCTGCCGTCAATCACTGCACTGATTGATGAGATGGCCTAGAATACAGACAGCACTTTTACACTGGTTATGGGTCCCATAAACCAATTTTTCTAGCTATAGATGCTATAGAAATTTCACAGTGTAATTATATTAAACTATGTATTTAATACAATGAAACTAATGCAAAAATTACCTTAAATTTTCTCTATAGGTCATTTTAATTTTCTAATAACATAGATTACAGTATTTTTATTTAATAAATAAGTAATTGTAAAATATAATCTATGTTTTCCTCTATAAATCATTTTAATTTTCTATTTAAATAGGTCAACATACTCAGATCAGTTGAAGAGAGGCCACTGAAGGCCCCCCGAGCAGTACAAACTCCAGTTATGCTGCCGACAAGGTATGTCAAAAACAGAGGGTGGGAAACAACAGAGAATAGTCCTTCCCCCACCACAGAACACGCATCGAGTGGCAGGCACGTTCACGGGCACAAGGAGGGACAGTGCACTACGGTGTGGGCGTATGGGAGTGGCTGAGAGGGCAATGAAAGCCCTAAAACAACTTTTGATACTTCAGCGTCCATCCAAAGTACAACGTGCAGCCTGTGCTTTTGAAGAATTTTACAACTCAGTTGCACTAAAAATAACGATAGCAACCACAAAATCCAAATGTACTAAAATTCTAACTTGATCTGTGATTCAATTCCCAACACCAACAGCATGCTGTCCATGCCAAAGCATAAATAAAATCCAAACGTATGGCACACAGCGGGGAAAAGGAATAAACAGTCCATCACCGAGAGACATGAATCAGATTAAGAGGTGCCACGATGTTGGCACTACCACTTAGGAACTTTAAAATGATTACTAAAGTAAAAGATATACAGAGAAAAGTGAGTAAATGCTTAAACAAACAGGAAATTCAAGCAGAAAAATGCAAACCATAAAAAAAGGATCAAACAGAAACTAGGAATAAAAAAAAACATTATCAACAATGCAGAATTTCTTTGATGGACTCAGGAGTACATTCAAAAGATTCAAAGAAAGAATCAATAAACTGAAGAATTAGTCATTAAATTCGATGCACAGTTCCAGCTTTTTGGCTGGAACTGCCAAAATGAAGAACCAAGAGAAAGGGGAAGGACCTGGTACACGTTCTCTAGGCCTTTTAGAAAACCTGGCTTATTCCTCTGGTCACATATATGCTAATCTTCAAAAACGGTGATACTGTAGACATCAGGGAGCTGGTACTGTTCAAAAAAGAGTGCCACACAGATGTCACCATGGCAAAACTTGAAGATACAAGGTTACCCAACATTGTTGTAAATAAGTTACTGGCAAGATGCTTGCCAAGACAATCAGTGTGTGTACTGAGTATAAGGAGCACACCAAGAGTCAAGATAACTGCCTCAAATGCATCAAGAACAATGATCAGAAAAAAAGGGAAGCCAAGAAGGAAGGTACATGGGTCCAACTGAAGCACCACCTGCCCTGCCCTGCCCTGCCCTGCCCTGGGAAGTGCACTCTGCAAGACTCAACAGGAGTCTGTTTTGCTGAAACTTATTCACTACCAATTAGTGGGAGCAGCTCTAGCCATTTAGCACCTAAGTACCAGCTAAGGTGGTTCTAGGCTCTGCTTAAAAATAAAACAGCATCCTGAATTACAAGGATGGTTTTCTTAATTGAACAGAGATGCAAGGGTGATGCTTACCTCAGAGAAATGAATACTTGGAGCAGATTCTCATTATGCCTAGTTACTTAGGCCAGGGCTTTACCCTTCCGTGTTTTGTTTGCTAAAAGAAAAAATTGCTGAAGAAACTATGCAGACATATACCCAAATGGCCAAATAGTTATGAAATATCTATACAGGCTTGAAGATCCTCTAAATCACCATAGCAAAAAGATGTATCACAGTAAGTGGATGGCAATATATGGCATTTCAGTTAAGTAAGTAAATTTTTAAATAAAAAATAAAATAAAAATTATCCACAGCAAAACAGAAAGAAGAAAAAAGAGTAGGGAAGCATCTCAACAGAAGATCCAGGAGTTAACCTGATACATGAAATTAGACAAAAAAATAATATAGAGAAAACAGAGAAATATTTGAAGAAATAAGAGTCAAGAAATTCTCAAAACTAAGGAAAAATGCCCAGTTAGATACAAGCACCTCAGAGAATCCTTTGTAGAATAGATGCCAAACATACATGTACATGCACACACACACAGAGATGCACACACATGCACACATATACACACATACATCTCTAGACACTTTACAATCAAACTGCTAGAACCAAAAGAGAGTAGAAAAAGATAAATCAAATAAAATGCACTAAATTAAAAATTGTAAAAAGATAAAAGTGTTTATTATAAAGGAATAAATTCATCAAGAAAATATAACCATTATGAACACATATGCACCCAACACTGGAGCACTGAAATATATAAAGCAAATACTAACAGACCTGAAGAATGAGTCAGACTGCAATACAGTAAGAATAAGAGCTTTGATGCTCACTTTCCTACTGATCATCCAGAAAGAAAATCCATTAAGGAAACAATAGACTTGAACTACACATTGGACCAAATGGATGTAACTGACATGTACATCACGCTCTGTGCTACAGTGACAAAACATACATTCTTCTCAGTGAAAACAGAACACTGTTCAAAGGAGATCATGTTTTAAGCCCAAAAAATAAGTCTTAGTTAGAAGATAAAAATCGTATCAAAGTATTTTTCCAAACACAATATTGTAAAACTAGAAATGTGTAATATGAGAAATTCTAGAAAACTCACAAATATATGAAAGTTAAATAGCATGTGCTTAAACAACCAAGGCATCCAAGAAGTAACTAAAAAAGAAAAATTTTTTAAATCTGAGACCAAAAGAGGAAACATAATGTAACGACACTTATGGGATGCAGCAAGTTCTAAGCGGAAAATCTGATAGCAACAAATGACTACATCCAAAAAGAAGAGATCCCAGCCAGGCATGGTGGCACACACATGGAATCTCAGGAGCAAGGTAATGACAATTTGAGCCCAGCCTGGATAATTCAGTGACAACCAATCTCAAAAG